TTTGACGCATGTGCATTTGCATAAATGTCTACACACACACATACACACTACACACAATAAAAAACATAGGAAATAGCAAGAGTGATTACAATAGTTCCTATTGCATTACATGCATAGGAACTAAAAAAAAAACAAAACACCACAGCTAGCATACTTGGTGCTCTGAGTGAACCCTGTCAGAAGTGAACTCGCATCTATGGCAGCGAACATGTTAACACAATGTACGAAAATAGTATACAACATTGGACAAATCTAATTCATTTATGGCCTTACAGGAGAACACACTTTAGTATCATCATAAACAACAACGTTGTGTCTATAATACTCACCAGAGTAAACCAATAGGAATCTGGCCTGAAAAAAAGTTTGTTCAACCATCTGATACTAGTCTCTGGATACAGGATGTGCATATGAAGATGATCCATACTTGTGAATGGCGGACAATGAAACCCCACTCTGTGAACATACAGTAATGGATGCAAAGTTAATTTCCTAAACTGTAGTTTACACTACAACATATCCATGAGACCGTAAATCTCAGACTGAGAGCATACTTAGCCGAACCAAACTCTGCTAAAGTCATCTGCTGGTTGTCGGTGGCACTCTAAGCAGATTATCGTTAAAATGATCTGCATACAAATAGCTGCTACAGTACTCCGTACATTACATGGAATTCTCCCGATGCATTTGTGTGCTGGCTTCAGTCTCACTTAGTCTTAACTTCTGATACCATAAAACCTCAAATAGAAGCCCTGGGCTTCTATTTTTTAGGACCCTTGGATGGGCTTCTTTTTGAGATGGGCTTTAATTTGAGATTACTTTGGCAAACTAAAAGGAGGGGGGGGGGCTTCTTTTTAAAAAGTATGTTGTAAATTTTGGAACTGCTACTATACAACATTTTTTAATGATTGCATGCAAACATTCTGTTTAATACTTATTAAATTTTAACCTTGCTAGTACAATAAAATAATTTTGTCACTGACACACTATTATAATTATCAAAGAAGCCCATATGATCTTGATTAGAAGCCCATGTGCTTCTTTTCGAGAAGATATTTGCAAACTGAAGAGGGAGCTGCTTCTTGATATGGGCTTCTTCTCCAGATTAAGCCCATGGGCTGCTTTTCAAGAAGACCTTTGCAATCTGGAGAGGGAGCTTCTTCTTGATATGGTCTCCTTCTCGAGATTAAGCCCATGGGACTTCTATTTAAGGTTTTAAAATGAAAGACAACCAAATTTAATTGGTCAATTGAGTCTGACATTGACCAAAACTAAAAACTATGTTTTTTTGACTAATAACAAATATGTAAGCCTATTGTAGATCAGTGGTGGAGCCAGCAGGGTTCAGGGGACACTTCCTCAATCAGACAGGCCTTGACGCCACTACAAGTTCGTCGGTCCAAAAATATTAATTTGCCTATCCAAATAACCCTTTTTTTGCGGTCTAAAAGCAGGTTATTCAGCCATACTATGTCATAAGCTCTCTATATATACCTTACCAGGGATTTTACTCTGCGAACCTGACTGAGGCTCGAGTCAGCCACTTGGTTCGGACCCCGCGTCAGACTTAGAGGCCCCCAGTTGGTAAATTTCTGGAGACACCACTGTTATAGATGTAAACACAACAAATATTTTAATGATACAGAACAACTAACCTGGCTTCATTTATACTGCCACCTAGAATCTCCAAGCCACCTGCACCAGATGCAAACATGTACTCCACTACAACAAACAAATTTCAAAGCATTATAGGAAAGGACATTGTTAAATCATCTAGAAATGTAAAATAGCTTAAAATTAATTCAGAGCATGTCAATTACATTACAAAATATCTCTCTCAGTAACACATTCAAATTTTAATAGCACAGTACAGTATTCTAAAATATTGTAGTTATTAGCACATATCCCCAAAAGTCATCATTTCATTTGCTTACAGTCAATGAAGTCTCCTGTGAGTTGCAGGAGTATCCTGGAAAGTAAGAGGGCCTCCCGCACTCCGTATATAGAAAGCAAAAATCTCCCGCAAATTCATTACTGGAAAAATTATCAGCTGGAGATGGATATCACCAAAGATACTAGAAACATAAGAGAGAGTTCTCCACAGAAAAAAAATGTTCTACCAAAATGCATGGTGGGAATACAAACAATGGGGCGCCATTGTAAATAAATCAAAGGAATAAAACGACAGACACAAAAGGAAGAATCGTATGACTGGATTTTGATTAGTGATAAGGTTTCCATCAATTAGCGGAAAGAGGAGGCCGCCACATACGTCTGGATATACTTACATGTAGCTACAGAAGGGTGCCCTGTACGTCTGGACCAAGTATAGATAAAGTTGCGTATAAATAAAAAGAGAAGGGCACTGCATAGACGTCTGGACCAACATAAAAGATGTGACGTATTTCCAACTCACTTTTGCTATGCAAATGCCCCATGTTGTGTTTTTAGTATCTTTGGTATCTCCATGCACAGCAAAATAAACTTACATGTTCTACTGTACCTTATTGAAACAACTAATGAAATAGAGCAGCAATACAAAAAAAAATTACACAGCCAATTACCTGTGGCTTGCATACTTACATAATGGAACATGTTCCTTTTTCAGTTGTCTTGTGTTTGAAATATGCGAGTTTGGAATGACTAACAGGTGGACTTTGGCTGCAGGACTTATATCAGAAAATACTGTCACCTCTGTATTCTGTGGGTCAAATTAATCAACTAACTAATACATTTATACCACATACATCTTAATATAAATATTAGAGTTAGAGACTTAAGTGATTCCTAGTCACCATAAGAGGGTGTTGTCAACTTTCATTTATGGTTTGGTACGGCAATAGCCGATTTTGTAGTACTTCCATTCAATGACTTTTAAAATGTTCCTTTGCTAATTGTATCAATGTCCAATTCTTTTTTATTTGACAATACTACATAATTCACTTTAATTAACCATCAACATCAGCATCAAGATTCGTCATGTGACAAACATTAACAGGTACTGTATAGAAGTTATGACAACTGATGTGAAAATATCTCTGGTAAGATTTCAAATCTATAATGTTTGCAATTATGTGTCATATTAAAATTATGATTGGTGTAGAATGAGAGAATAAATCACAGTATTAAAAAGGCACCTGGAAATAAGATGTCTTGCATTATGGTTTTTTTATCGTGATACAGGTACATGGAAATATTGACTGGAAATTACAGAGTAAGCAAATCAATTTTTATCTTGTTTTGGTCATTGAATTTTGAAAACAAGTTAATGTAGCTTTCAGAGAATGCAAAATTTGGTAATATGCATTCATTATTTGATCTTGGTCTATGATAGACTTCCAGAACCTTTAAAAATCAAAACAGATGGGCTTTTCTGCAGGGGTGGCAGATGCTCCAAAATGGTACTCGCATGTTTCCAGCTTAGAAAATATTTGCTGGCGCCACTCCCGCTTTCCAGGAAAGCTTGTCATGTTGAAGGTTTTACTCTGTGTTTCATTTTATTTTATTTGTTTCATAAACAGAAATTAGCAAGAAACAAGCACAAAAATAAAACATGAGACAGGAACACCCCAAAAGAGAACTAATCACTGTCAAGTGGTGCCCTTTCACAAAAAAACAAATGCTTTAATATAAAATTTAGCTTTGCACCATTTCTCACAAAACAGTCGCAAGCTGAACATATCTTTCCGATAATTGTGTAATTAATATCCATAGTTTTAGTTTCCATTGTAATTGAGCAAAGAAACAGAAACAGGATCATGATCAATGCTGCTTTTACCATGTGGTGATATTAAATTTTGATTGGTCAATAGACAGTTTTGTTTCCTTATATTATAAATCACTGTTTATATTGGTAGCATAGATAGCTGCTTAAGTAGTGAGTGAGACATCCTCTCCTTGGTTTCAAAACCACTGAGCGACCTTTGGCAACCTCTCTATTTTTGCTGTTTTATAGTGTTTAGCTTGTTCATATGGAAGTATATAATACTATTTTATAATATATATTTCATCAAACATAGTGTATCTTTTGGTAGCATAAAAGTTGCCTGTTGCAAATATAACATTTTGCTGTACAAACATAAGGCCACGGGAATGAAAGTTGTAGGTTTGCGTCCACCGCCCGCATGCCTAAAAAGCGACCGCATGAAAATTTTCATTATTTTGAAAAGTTCATTATTTTGAAAAAAATATACTTCGTTTTAAAAAACGGACTTTCTAAGTCGTAAACAGACAGAAAACGATCTATTCATCACTGATCACTAGTCGCAAACACCGAGCGAAGGCAGGCCTGGCCACATCGCACCATGATCGCCAATCACTGCTGAGGTCATTTACGGGTCAAATCGATCTTTCTGACCAATAGGAAATCTCATATGTTTAAAGAGGTCTTAAATGTAGAAAAGGATCTGTTTTATAGGCTAGTGTACATCTATGACTGTAAGCATTGTTTCTTGGGAATAAATGTAAAATTACCAATGCTGCAGCTTGTGGACAGCATTTATAAAAAAAATAATGAAAAATGAAAAAATGCCTCATGTGTCAATTTTTCGGACGCAAACCTACAACTTTCATTCTCGTGGCCTAATTAAAACTGCCAATGCAAAATATTAAACAAAATCATCTGAAAGAATAAATTACTTGAAACAGGGTCCTTTTCATAATTACATACAAACTACAAAAAAACAAAATCATCAGTTTTAGGGCTTGATTTAACTTTCTTTGATGACTAGCCCACTGGGCTAGATTACTGTATATTTCACTAGCTCATTGTCTATTTTACTAGCCTAATCATTGGTTACATTTTACATCAGTAGCATTAGGTTCTTGGCCAAGCATACTTGAATCAATAGTTTATAACTGATCACTGGCCCACCAGGCTAGTAATAAGATAGGTTTACTAGCCCAGAGGAGCTTTTTTTACTAGACATTGTACGATGGAATAGTACTAAATCAAGCCCTCTAAAGTTAAATTTGAATTTTTAAAAATAGCACATAAAGACAGACCAGTGACCACTTCAAACTAACAACAAACCACCCAGCAAAAGTGACACCAAAGAAACATTAATTAATTAGATTTCTTTTTTCCAAATCAGAGATTTTGACCATGTAGTTGTGTATTATTCAGTGGTGGATCTAGAAGTCTTACAATGGGGGTGCTGATGGCACATTGTTTAGATGCCTAGCTCATGGCTGTATCTTAAAGTTTTATTTATTTGAATGTTTACTGCTGTATTATTGTGTTTCGGCCAATCCTTTTGTTATTGACTTTGTATGTTGTTATATTGTTATTAGGCCGCGCCTATTGTTATTATTATTATTATTATTATTATTATTATTAATTATTATTATTATTGTTTTTTTGCATTTTTTATTTTAATGCCATAAATTGCTTTAACTCATTGTCTGTATTTTAAAGTTTATTTATTTGAATTACTGCTTTTATATTGTTCCCCCAATCTTTTATTATTAAATTTGAATGTTGTTATATTGTTATTAGGCTTATTATAATTATTATTATTGTTATTGTATTTTTATTTGTTGCTTCTTTGACATAGATTTTTATTATCTATTATTATTACTGTATTATTATTATTATTATTAATATATTTTTTTTTTTTTATTTATTTTATTTTTTTTGCTTTTATGACATACATTTTTTTAGCCTCATTTTGCCTGTATTTTAAAGTTTTATTAATTTGAATGTTTACTGCTGAAACCAGAATATAGGCTAAGCCCTAGCTAGGCGACTCTAGGTCTATGCCCTACAGTAGTAGTAGTATTTTATTAAGCGGCCATTCTACCGATTACCATTATTATGCCATTCTAGAAGTGTTCATGTTTGGGTTTATTGACTTTTTTGTTTATTGCCGTTTTGACTTATAATTTATATTGCCGTTTTGGTCCATTGCTGTTGTTGTTAAAAAGTGTTGCCATTTTGCTTTATTGCCGTTTTGACTTATTGCTGTTTTGGTTTATTGCTGTTTTGACTCAGAGAAGAAAGCCATACATAGAAGCACCAGACTATCTTGGGTCATGACTATTTTACACAACAATAGGCCATGGGCTTAGTCTAGCCTACTAAATCTGCTATAACAGGCGTAGGCCTAACCTATTATATTACTACTTGGGCCTAGGTCTGTCCGTATAGTAAAGTAGGCCTCTATATAGGCCTAGACCTAGTCTAGGCCTAATAGTAATAGAAATACTACTTAGAATAGGCCTAGGGCCTAGATTCAGACTGTTCTTCAGTTCAGGTGAGTCTCGTATTACATTTTACACTATTTTCAACACTCACCTGAAAAACAGGTTTGGCAAAAAGTCTTCCTTCTTCTTCGTGAGCTATTTTGCAGAATACGCAACTTTTCTTGATCAAAATTTCGTAAGCCCCACCACGGGTCACAGGCGTGTGGTCTTCGTCGAACACGACGTCTCGGGGATTCGTTAAGCTGCTGCCTGCTGTAGCTGACGAACGATGCTCCGGTGAATATTTATCAAATTCATCATTATCGTCATCTACGTTTCTATTCTCCGACATAATTGTGAATTACTGTGGTTGAAAATATACGTGTGATAGACCCTAGCCTATGCCACATTAAAGTCTTTCAATACCTAACATTTGACGGCAATGACAAACAAGGAAGCAAGCACAAAACGATCATGTTTCTGGCGTATTCACACAGTGTTTTCGTTTTATCAAACGAAACGATAGTGGACATTTCCGCATTTACAATGACATCATCTCCAGTGAACGTGATTGGTCTAAAGCTGAATGATGTAAGCGTCCCTTGGCATGGCATGTTCACAGTTGTTTGTAAACAGTGTATTAAAGACTGGCATAAAAAGTGTGTTTTTTTTTTTAAATCTATGCTTAGAGGGAAATTAAGAAATGGTAGTAAATGTAAGATTACTTTATTCTAAAAGATTACTCTATGCTGTTACTGTATTTATTCTTACATTTCTCGGTAGTCACACATCAAGTCATGAGCTGGCACACGTTCTACATAATCTTCATAACAATATTACTAATTGTGTCCAACTAAAACTATCAATAGGCCTATTCAATATAAACACTGTATAGAGAGGGGTATAGAGTATCTGCATATGTTGTGTATATTTTGATATCTATCATCATATTTAAAAAAAAACTGCGTTACAATCAATATACATTTTTTAATGTAAATGGGAATTATTTTTAGTTAGGTCTGCCAATATGCATTATGTTTGGATCTTTTCTTCCAAGTGTTGAAGAATGGATTACTGTATGCTGTTATTGACACCATCTGTGGTAGTCACATCACGATTCCTGTGCTCGTTCTATGCATTAAAAAAATACCAACTTCGACTTTCTACTAACACATCGGATTTTGATGTATTTTATTTTGACGGTCTATTCTGTAAAAGACAACTGCACTGCTTTTAAAAATGTAGACTGTAATAGAAAACTTTCAGTTTGGTCTGCTTTTTAAATTTTTTGATTGTAGTGCGAATATCATATATAGGCTTATTTACATTTTTATCTATTTATCGATTTTTATTGATTTATTAATTGATTTATTATTATCATTATTAGCCTATTATTATTCATTTATTTATATATTTTTTCCAATATTTTTCCTATATATTTATGCATTTGTGCTTTTTTTTGTCTTTTTGTACCGTTTGTATCTAATTATTCTAACATCTTTTCTGATGTTTAATAGAGGGCCCCTGAACATCAGCTGGCTTTCTTTGGAAGGGTTACCCTCTACAAAATAAGGTTTGAATAAAGAATAAGCCATGGTTTTTGGTGTCAAATAGAATCGCCTATAATTAAAGACCGGCAACCACTCAGGGGTCCCATGTTGGAAGAATCCACATTCGAGAGATCTGTTTCAATCATTCAATCAAATAGTGAAATACAGTATCAATCAATCAATCAATCAATCAATACGACTTCATTTCCAATTCCAGCAACAAATATTACAATATATGAATAATTCTAATGTAACAATTATGGTAAATATAATTATAAAATCAAAAGGAATTGTAAAAATGCATATAAAACAAGTAAAACACTTTTATCATGTAGCCCTAATAATAATAATAATAATACAGTAATATAATAATAATAATAAATAATAATAATAATAATTAATAATAATAATAATAATAATAATTAATAATAATAATAATAATAATAATAATAATAATAATAATAATAATAATAATAATAATGTATAATGTACCGTATAACGTAGAGCAAGGTAAAAGATAATGAAGCAGGCATAACCCAAAAAACAAAAGCTTGTGGTAAGCATGCCTGGACAAGAAAAAAAAAAGAACAATAAATAAATAAACAAATATGAGTAAATAACAACCTCTTCAAACAATAATAAAATTTACTTACGTGAAACGTCGTCTGACACTAGTACGAGTTAAACGAGATATCAGGGAATTTAAATCCAGTAGGTAGATAAAAAATGTTTTTTAAGCTTAACTGAAAAGCTTTTCTTGGAAACAGATTCTTAATTTACATATATAACGGTTGATAAATATTCCAAAGTTTGGGTTCACTAAATCGTATATTATATTGAATTATTATTATTATTTTTTTTTATGGAGGTGAGCGCATGTCATTTACACTACGAGTGCTAACTGTGTTTAAATTAGTTTTCTTAGCACTTAATCATATTTTGTTGTACACTGAATCGGCACTGACTTCCGGGAGATAATTGATAATACAGTAGTAATAAGCATGCAAAATATCATCATGAATTTGCGGTGGTTTGATTTCGGTAAATTCGTGCTTAATGCGTGAGTCCCTTCCTGTCAATTTCCAGGAGACTCCAGTCTGGGACTCACAGGTGACTCATGGACACTAAATGTGGTCTTTAGATTTCTCTATTTAGAGGGAATTATAAAGAAATAGTACATTATATGTTTAAAATGAATGTACACTACTGCATGTTGTTAATTGTTCTGAATAAAATAGTTCATGGTAATATAGCCAGACATCAATCGAAATTTAAGTTCATACGGTTAACTTCAGTAATATTCCTAATGTTTTTATATTTGTAAATTTTAATAATTTTATATTGTAACCATTTGTTGTAACTCAGTTTTTAACTGCGACGCATTTTGGAATAAACCTTGAATGAGGAATGGCACAAATTGCCTATTTTGTGACAGATATGCTACTGTAGGGGAAGGGTTGTCTGAAAAATTGATGACGTAACCGTTCGTTATAAATAAATAAAATGAAAACGTATACAATAACACAAAACAATGACTAAAATAATAATGTGTAAAAAACAAATGATTGATATCAGCAATTTCGACATAATACAACATTAATGAAAGAATATTGTACGCTTTGTTGGTTTCAAAGTCACTTTTTTATTTTGTTTGAGATGGCAGCAAAAACATCCGATAATGAAAGTTAAGTTATATCATAATATAGGTCTACACTTTGATTCGTTAAGTTACTGTTTTTCTGTTCACTAGTATTTATTATGTTTTGATATCGATATGATTCAGAATCATTCCATTTTTATTTCAAAATAATTTCCTTTTTCTTGCATTCTGTTATGTAGAGAAATATAATTTATTATAAAGAAGACCGATGACGATTTACAAATCCCAGGCAGTCCGCGTACCTATACAAAGGTGAGAAAACAAACGGTAATTTTACCTCTCACAATAATATGGTGTTTTTTTTTAATGATGTTCACTGTAAATCGTTCGTCGTCATCATCATCATCATCATCATCATCATCGTCGTCGTCGTCGTCATTATTATCGTCGTTGTCACCTCATCATCATATCAGCATAATTATCATCATCATTGTAAATACTATATTTCACAGTAATTCAACACGTTTGTGACATGTTTTAGTAACAAGACGTTATAGATAATGGGTGCATGTAATACATAATTCACATACAACTTGCGATTAAAAACAAAATCATTTGAGGTACCCTATTTTTAGCCATTATTTCACAACTCAAACATGTAACATAAAAAAATTTTCCCAATTGATATGATATTATAACAATGTATTTTAAGGAATGAGCTCACTAAATAAGAACGTAAATCACAAAATTAAAAACTGGGATTTATGAAAGTTTTAGGCCTACTCTTTAACGTAGTGGCATTGCGTCTTAATTGTACAATCTGCCTTTACTACAATACAAGGAAATGCATTTCTACAATAAAATATATGTTACCTTTTATTTGAGCCACTCTATTATTTTTGAATTTGTACGCAAGTACAATTGCAACTATCTGTAGAAAAGCAATTTCCGAAATTAAAATGTTATATTGTAGTGCCTATTCATTATTAAATACACTATTAAATCAAAATGTGCAATTCATTAATAAAGTTGTTTTTACCTGAACTAAAAATACTGTTGCGACAGAAGCTATGGATGCTATTAGGTTGTCATCAATGAGGTCCCAAAGTCTCGTGTAACAGGAGATCTAATAATTCAATGTGATTGATACAATAGTAATATTAAGATAGTAATATTGCAGGCCTGCTTAAAATTTAACAATTTACATTACACAAACAGTAATGAACGATTGATGTAAAATGTTATTAAGAAGATGTATTAAACTATTCACTGTTTATTAAAATTTTGTCACATATATATATTCCATTTGTAATTCATAGGAGGTTTTGAAATCACAATGTCACATATGCCTACTTGGTTTCTGTTATTTCGAAGTAAGCCTGTGTAATTAGGCACATAATTAATGCTATAAAAAATTAGCTAATATATACGGTCTCTCATTATATACGTTGTTATTTGAAGACGCTATACTAACCCTTAACACTAGAAAAAAAAAAAAAAAAAAAAAAGCCTGATTCTTACGTTGTATTGTTGTCCTGTGTCTGTGTCAGTGCACGAGGGCGGAATTTCTTCGTATTCTGAGGTACTATTGAATCCGCAGCATTTCAACTGAAAGTAGGTAGTGGCAAAACAAATTACTGTCTCTAGAATAACAGTACAGTATAAGCAGGGAACAGTGAAATTACATTGCAATTCAATTTCACTGTTCCCTGGTATAAGCCTATTAATTAGGTATTTTATACAAGGGAGGTAAATATATAAATATTGACATACATCTAACGTCTAATTTGTCCAATTGTTTTTTACTCTGTGGTTTCTTATTTGTTCAAAACATAATTAGGGTCTATTTCCAGGTACGAAATAATTCAAACGATTTGAAATATCCTATACAGAGCCATATAAATAATTATAGTCTAATAACAGAATATGCCTAACGCAACAAAATTATGGTTTGCATTGAATTAGGATATTTAAAATTACAAAAGGATTCAATTAAAATGTGAATATTATTTGTAACACAATTCGAACCTATGGCAGATACCTGTGAGTGCACCAAATCTCGACTCACGTCGTCCATCTTTTCCCAAACTTTTAAAAGGATTTCCTAAAAACAACCAGTGAGTAAATACATAAAATACAAAGGTAACTGAATTTGGAATATTGGGCCTACTATTAGGCCTCATGACACTGACATAAGTACAAACTTTGAACACGTTGTCATAGACTATGTCTTTAAATATAATAATTTAAGACTTTGGCCTACTATAATACCTCTATGATACAGTAATGTATTTTAATTCAATTACCTCCTCATCCATCACAAGAATATAGATGCTTACTGCGATCTCCAGCAACACTATTGATGCGAGTATAAACATGTACTAAAAGAGATAATAATGGCTCATTCATATTACTTTTAATTGATGTTTTTGCTTAGATGTTAAGTAAATTAGGCCTAGCATTCGTTTCATAAAATAACCGTTCGATATTATATAAATGATTTCTATAGTGCAAATAAATGACACTGATTAAGAAGGTACATGAGAAAACCTACCGACTTTAAGAGGATGACATTTTGTACTGCTGCTCCAAGTCCGCCTGTAAAACCTTCAATAATAAAAGCCGGACACGGTTCCTTTTTAATTAAATGTAAAATAAATGGTTCGTTTCTAAGTTAAACATCTCTAGGACTAGGCATAGGTTAGGATAAATAATGAATATGAAACTCACCAATTACAAAAAATAAAGTTCCTAGTACCAAACCAGCATACGTAACAACCTGCAAAGCATATAATTTTAGATTATATAT